ACTGTACTTTACTGATCCCTCTAAGTCTGTCCTGAGCTATTCAGAAAGGACTATTTCATATTGCGCAGGGTACCAAGGGTTGTTAGCAGGGCAAGTAGTGTGCCACTAGGGCAGCTTGTTACTACTGTAGTCGACAGACACCTGAACTCAAGTGAGAAATGGGTTAAATCCATATTGTTTGATTCTCAGTATTCTCTCTATTCTCAAGTCTCCGCTTCCATCTCATCAGGTACGACTAGAAGTCAATATAAAAGATTATGTACTCGTACAACCAAGTACGAAAACTCAACGACACCATAGTTGGCCCGCGTTTTATGTGATAGAGATAGTGTCAAGCGTGAAACCTACGACTTATTATGTTATTAGTAAAATAACTGTCTTTTTTATCCTCTCCTATTTGTCTGTCTGTCTGTTTTCGACATAGAACTTTGCACATATGTGCGGCAGTTCAAGTCGCCACACTCCATATAGCACACAAAGCAAGAGAAGAAAGTAGGAGAAATGCATAATATAGACAGTAAACAGAGGTGTGAGACAAAGGAATAGTAATAACGAGAACAAAACAGTTTAATTGGAAATCATAAGTCACAAGGAGTGGATGCATCTGCGCCACTGAGAACGATTTTGAGCCATATCACCAATTGTTTCCAACCATTGGTTTTTACCGTCCCGAGGACCCCAACCAGGAAGTCTACACCTTCCTACGTGGCTTAGACTAATTGTTGTAGATTTCATTGACTGGTGCCATGTTTTCGTTTGACCGCCACTAGCTCTTTTCCAGCCTGACCCTATATCAGCTAACATTGCCCGTCGAGGAAGGCGATGACTAGGCATACGTAACACATGTCCTAACCATCTCAGTCGATGTAATTTCACAGTTTCGTCGACTGATTTCCCCTCCTTACCTAGCACTCGACGCCTAACCTCAATATTGCTCACCTTATTATACCACTTCACGCGGGAGATAGAACGCAGACACCTATGATCGAAGACAGCTAATCTTTTCATGTCTTCCGCTCTCAATGGCCAGGTCTCACAGCCATAAAGGAGGACGGAGCGGACTGTTGAGCAGTACACACGCCCTTTGGTCGATAGTCGGATATCACGTCTACGCCAGAGACGGCGTAAACTGGCATATGCGAAACTAGCCCTCTGTATCGTGTTGAGATTTTGTCAGCGATCAATCCGTTGGGGCTGATGGTACTTCCCAAGTAAGTGAAGCGGTCAACGTGCTCTACCACTTCACTTCCTATTTCTAATCTAGGGGTCGGTGTAGTCCAATCCTGCAACATCATCTTACATTTTACAGGGGCGAATCGCATGCCAAACATACGAAGATTGTTGCTCAAGGTGTTCAGTAGACTCTGCATTTTGTCAGCATCCTCGCCTAGAAGGACTATATCGTCTGCATATTCTAAGTCAACGAGATTATTCCCTGGTAGCAAGTCAATCCCTGAGTCTCTGAAGTGAGTTAGGGTTAAGTCCATTAGTACGTCCTATTTGTAATTTATAGTGACACTACTTCAATTAACTTATATTTTTACTATTAATATTATTACCGTTATTTTACACTTTTGTACATTTTTGACTTTATTATCACTGCAAATACCAAAATAGCCGCTATTATCGATCCTATAATATTAATTTGTTTTTGACATTACCGAGTAAATTATATGCAATATTGTACCGAATGAGGAATATTCCACACTGTTTTGGAATAAAGCAAATTGTTATTACCGTTATAAATCACGAGACAACTTGGATACTCGAACCTTTTGACTACCTTTAATGAATCGTCGAATACGCCAAATGCAAACTAAGGTACTCAGTCTTGAAAAAGGCAATGGACTGAGACGCTATAAATCGCATACAGTAAAACAACACTGGTGAGGACATATGCAACTATTTATCACGACGGATTACAACCAAATAAAAGGAATAGTAAACACTGCATTCGTGAAAGTAATATCTGGATTTCACATTTGAGATAAATTATGATCCAGTTTCTACTCACTTTTTAGATTGTCTTCTGTATTTCTTTCTCTAGTTGAAAGGATATGCTGAAAGAGGATGATAAATGAAAGTGAATAAATCAAAAGTGTCTATGATTTTGAAATGTAGGCTGTTAACACAGGAAAGTAAAATGTCACGTGTTAGGTGCTGAATACTACTCTACTAAGAGGAAATCAGCTGCACTTACTTGAGTTAGTACTCAGAGCTTTCGGGAATCACTCCATGGGAACTTCATAACTAAGAAGAGCGTAACATTGGATAGTTGTAACATTTTTACCTTTTGTGCTTAATTTTGCTGTCATAATCCTGCCGGAGAATGATTTCCATCGCATGAGAGCTTTTGATGCTGTTGGTGACATCATGATAGCCATTCCCTCAGAGTGCGAATGGTTGTCGTCTTGGTAACCAGAGTAAATTACTGACTTACCAGTTAACAATTTGGGGAGTCCACTTCCATTCCATCTGATCCTACAGATTCCTAACAATTTTATTTAATCTTCTCATTTTTTTCTGCAATGTGAGCAGCCTTTGTGACTTCGAACACCGTGGAGCGTACTTCACATCCCTATACTTACTTTTGCTTTCATTGAAACGAATCACGTCGGTCAACCGGCTTCCATTAGGCGACATCATTTCATTCCTCCAATTCTAGTGAGGAGTGAGTTGATTTATTTTGGTGTAGCTGTGTTCTTTAGGCTGGCTAGTTTAGTTGCAACTCAACCAATTGTATCAGATGTTCGTGCTAATATCATTATGACTATTATAATTATTTTTTTCACCGCTTTTACCATTCTGGTTTAATACACTGATTACTGACCCACATATTACTCTGATCGGTTAACAACTTTATATATATACGAAGAGATACGTATTAGAGCATAGACCAAGAAGAGTTTAGTTGAAAGCAACATTTTTCGCTCATATAACCTCTTGTAACTTTACCCACATTTGATCAACTTAATCGATCTCATCAAATCGATTAAATTATTAAAGAGAAAAGAACACGAAGTTCAGTGGAGATATGTTTTCGGTGATGTCATACTCAAAAGCAGTACAATCCCATTTATAGACATAAGTTTACGTAAATACAATTATTATTCATTTAATTCCATATACTAACGAAAGAGATTAAGTGTGATAACAATTTTCAACTTGATCAGAAAGTTTAAACGTGTGAACATAGATTACAGTTAGCTTAGAAACAAAATTACAGAGGATTAGAAGAGTTATATTTGAGGAATACATGTGTCAAAACGTTCACTATCACCAAATCGGTGTAAACACCTGTATTCTTCAGAAAAACTATTCTACTCCTGTGTAGTTTTGTTTCTAAGCTAACTGTAATCTATGTTCACACGTCCAAGCTTTCTGATCAAGTTGAAAATTGTTATCACACTTAATCTCTTTCGTTAGTATATGGAATTAAATGAATAATAATTGTATTTATGTAAACTTATGTCTATAAATGGGATTGTACTGCTTTTGAGTATGACATCACCGAAAACATATCTCCACTGAACTTCGTGTTCTTTTCTCTTTAATGTCCTGATAGGTGTTTTCCACAATTCGATTAAATTATGACTCAATAAGATTTTGCGTGATTCAAAAGTTCCCAGTCTTTTGGTAATAATGAAGGAAACGAAAGTGACAAGAATAAACCTAATGTCTTTTGGGACAAAACACAACAGACGTTAAGAAGACCATAATCCTTACATTCATTTTTACAATTTTCAAATTATATAATCTACTGTATATTAGATTCTTCTCAATGACACCCTGCCTGAGTTTCTTATTCGGTTGCTCTTTCACTGACATGTATTACTGCTTCTCTGAAGATGTTAATCAGCACCATAATGGATAAGATTTTATTTTAATAAATCACACAGTGTTGTAGAGTTAAATTAACTGATGACGTTTCGAGCACAAACTATTGCTCGAAACGTCATCAGTTAATTTAACTCTACAACACTGTGTGATTTATTAAAATAAAATCTTATCCATTATGGAGTTATACTCTACCACAGTGCCCAAGTTTTATACTTATATCAATGTTAATCTGCACACTGCTTGTACTTACTGATAAGTAGTACACCGGTTCACTCTTCCCTAGTCGACCTGGATCAGAGTTAGGATTGGTCGAAACAAAATATACGGCATCAGTTCATTAAGTCTTTTACTGTTGGTTTGAGTTGCGTAGGTAGGTTTAGACAGTCTCTCCCTGGGGACTTACAAACCCTAAGAATCAACAGCTAGAGACTGCTAGTAATATAGCTGACAATCGTTCTCAATGGTTTAGATGCATTCTCCCTCATGAACTTTCAGAACAACTAAATGCTTATTTCTCTCCAAGTAATTATTCTTTTACCCGTACATCTCTGCCTGTTATACATATTTTCTTTACATTTCTTTCCTATACCCTTATATGTGGCTTTATTAAGAGTGTCAGCTTGAACTGATGTACTTTGGTATAAAAAGTTCTACGTTGAAAATTCAAAGCAGTTCAGTCGATATGCACGACCTACTCTCCGATAGGTCGATAACTAAAATAGTAATAATAGTCATAATAATAATGTGAAGTGGTATAGAGTATAGGTGTGCGTAAGAGGCGATGAACTACAGCTGACGAGTAAAAGCTCATAATGACATCTGACTATACAGGGTGGAATTTGAATGGGAAACAAATTAAATGTCAAGGCCAAGAAGTTACGCCACCATTACGCTGTCCGGATTACATTTTCAACACTAATTCCTATAGCTGAAGGTGAACTGCTCATATCGACTGAACATTAAACCCATGTAAAAATTTAAAGATACAATATCATGACAGTATTCTAATTCAAAAGTTAAAAATATCAATTAAATCAAGTAAAAAGAGTGAAAACTATGACAGTGTGGGTGTTTCTTGATTAATCTGAAAAACTCGTTTTGAAGTACATATCTTAGAAATATTCATTTGAAAAAAGACATAAAAACACCTATAAGTGTATACACATAACATTTGACACGTATCGCTGTTTTGGAATAAGAGTACCTCAGTTACTTGGTTACTAATGGAATCCATGGTGCACGTTATTATCCTTTTTGGAACTAGTCAGGTTAAATGTACTTGCATTCCCAGTGAGTGATGATATTCTTAGTGAGATTGGAAACCGAAATCCACTCTTTCACAAAGAGCAATGCATTATCCACTAAGCTTCATTGTTATCCGTAAATTAAAATCCCTTTTAGAGTAAAATAATGAAATCTTATCTAGTCGCACAATTTTAGCTTTCAGTAAGGGATTGGAACTTTATTCCAAACTCATATCTTTGATGTGAGGAGACGATACTGCAATACGTTTCCCTGTAATATTAAAGAAAAACTCCATATTTTGAATTCTTGTATAATTTACAATTATACTTTGAAAATAAAATAACTAGAAGTAATATAGTTTACAAATTCCCTGAATCATAGTTACGAATTACTAAGAGGAAATGAGAAATTATAAAGTATTTGAGTCTATATATAACCAAAATATTCATATGAATAAAATCCATCCTATCAGTTGTACAATGAAGTGAGGATTTATCTAATACCTCATGGAGTAAAACAAACAGAACACATATATTACAATTGTGATACTGGAATTTTACACGATTATTTCTTATTATTTAAATATGTATTGTAACGCTTTTCTTGTGCAGTATATAATTTCTGTAATTTTTTTACAGCACTTTTTGATAGTTCGTTTCCAGAGGCGTCATGTGTCGGCAAACCCTGGAAATAACAGAAAACACAAAATAAGCATTGAGGATTATGTATATATATATATATATATATATATATATATATATATATATATATATAGGTACTAATATAAAAACGATCCCCACAATTGCTAATGCTACTACTACTACTACTATCACCACAGCGACTGAACCTCGGTAGCTGGAATGTGGATTCACATCTGTAACCCACCTGCTGATAGTTGCTCAAAATACAGATTTAATCACCACGAAGAAATTAAAGCTAACTCTTGAAGCTTCATTGTATGTATGCATGCGTTATTCGACGGCCGATTGCAGTTCCATGCAGCTGGCAATAAGCCACCTCCACTGTGTGAGGTCTAATGATACTACTACCTGGTTGCCTAAACCCCGGTAAGTGAAGAGGATTTCAAACTTGTGAACTAATGGTTGAACCAAGGCGCCACAGCTCCACAAGCTTCACTGTTCACAAAGACATTATTAAAGATACGTAATTTCTTCCTGATATTATCTTTCACAAAATGTTTACTGTTGCACTGAACCATTACCTACCACTTACGCAGAAACACGTTCATTTTGATAAACTTGGTCATGGGTCGGTCGGTCGGTTTTCGACATAGAACTTTGCACATATGTGCGGCAGTTCAAGTCGCCACACTCCATGTAGCACACAAAGCAAGAGGAGAAAGTAGAAAATGCATAATATGGTCATGGGTGCTAAAAGTAAGCAGTTTACCGAAAATTTTCTTACAATACAAAACTATTTTTGGGACACCGATGAATTACCTTCGAATCGAATTTAGAGTACTTATCTACCTCCGACAGGAACATTTCCCATGGGGGTATGCATGCAACTTCACTTTTTGCAGCACCTTTAGTGGATTTTGCCTCATTTCGCTACATCAAGAAAAAAAAGAAAAGAGCATTTTTTTATCAAAATGTTCAACAAAACCAAATTAATCACGCTATTACCACTCACATCACACTGAACTGTGTAAACTAAAAATTGTGAATGTTTTATGGTATTACTAGTTCACCCAAGTATCTAGCGGGCAATCGGGTGCTTTGAATTAATTCGGCTCTCTGAGCTCAGTCAAACTGGTTACACCGCTGATGAGCTCAACACCAAAACAAGAGAAACGGCCGTCCACTGGTTACATTACTTCAATCTAGCTGCCAGTGAACACTACTGGTTAATTTGAGTAGTGTACAACTACTCAACTCAATCAACCAGTAGTGTTTAGCGTCGTGTATTTAAGCTCGCTTTCTTGATTAACATTTACTGAATCAAGTAGATCAGACATTGTGGTCTGAATAATTTCGGTTTCCAGAGAAAACTGTGATGAAATTTCACTTCTTCAAACTGTGTAGATTGCAAATTGTGAATTTGATTTAAAACCAAATTAAGTTTTTATCGAAAACTGAAGACAATGCAAGTCTCCTACAAAACAACTATTTTACAATCATGAGAAAAAACGGTTCATATATATATATATATATATATGTATGTATATATATATATATACATATAGTTACTACTTATAGTGAATGCTTGAAAGGCAGTGTATTAAACACACTTCACAATTCACCAGATCTGTACTACGAATAGGCAGATGAAAAAGTGACTACCTCAATTTCACAACTTATCTTAAGTTCGAAAAAAGGAAAGGTATTTTCAACAAAATCTACCTGAAATAAAGCAAAAATATAGTGAGTGACATTTGACTGATGTATAGAGCAATAGTACACACTCCCAAGGCAGATAGTAGTATTATCTGTATGATATCCTGCAAATCACTGACATATAAAAATGGGAAATTTTATTCAGTTCGCCTACCACATAATCTAGACAACACTGAGTTCAACTTGTAAATTATATATTTATCAAAGTAGGATTCCACAGAAAGAAGATTTTTTTAATCAACGACCTTAACTACAAACGTACATTTTACCCATAAAGAATCAATGGCGTCATTTATTTAAGAATTCAGAGATCTGAAGAAACATGCACTTCATATTTTCTGATAATTACTAACATATAATTAACTATCCGTAAAAACTATCCAAAAGAAACTGCCCTGTGCCTTTTTGTAAGTGAAGGCTAATGATGCTACCCAGTTACCCAAGCTGAAGTAGGCGTAGGTGGATTCGAAACCAGGACACGTTAACTAAAAGTCGAATGCTTAAGTCAATAGGCCATGTCTCCACTACTAACTGATCTGAAAATCTACTAATTTTTTTTCTATCATCAGAGAAAACATGATACACTATACTATTTTTTAGTAGAATAGCTTGTGGCACAAATACCTAACCATTAGCTCCAACCAAACAGAGGAACAAAGCAAAAAAACGGCATAACGACACGCAAACAGCAATTGCAGTCAAATTTTTATAACCTATCGAATTGCATATATAATAATAATAATAATAAAGAAAAATGGGTTTTCACCTTGGTTTTATTTTCAAGACGTTCACTTAACAAAATACTTTTATCCACCAAACCAATGAACGGTGGCACATTTATACCTTTGCTAAGATCAGATGCAGTGGCACGATCTTGAAGTCGAATACCAGCATCAACAAAATCAACATCGCGAAATCGATCACTTGCTTCATACAACCGCTTTTTGCACGCAGAATCTGTAATACAACCTGAGGAGAGTAATCCTTTAACTGTATTGCGTACAGAAGCAAGTGTATGAAGAAATTCAAGAACAACTGGCCATACATTTACTTCTAATCCATGCGGTAGAGTGGTTAACTCAGAAAGGCTTTTTTGAGTGGTAGTTGTTAAAATGCATTCCAAAGTCTCTGCAAGAAAAAACAAAATGTTATAAGTATTTGTTGAGTATAAGAGGCGCTTAACAATATGTGAAGGTAAAATTAATAAAAGCATAAAAAATAAGCTTGGAATTAAAGCAAATTGGTGGCCTTCGGATTCATGGTGATCAAGAATGTCGTAAATCCAGATGGAGGCTGACCACTGCATTTCGGTGTGTTGAAACTCACGAAGAATCCTAATCGTGTGTGTAGCTTTTCTCAGTGAGGAGGTCTCGCTGTCCTCAATTTAACTACGCTGAAAATTCTGCATTGTGTTTGAACGCAATTTTCAGGATAAAGCTAATATTATTATTAGTATTATCACACAGATGTTGACAGGTATCACTGGAAGTATGAAGACATAATGACAACAATTTCAAACGTTCTGCTATTTTTGGGAAACGCCGTTGACAGGAATACAGATCAGAGCTTATGTGAAATGTACCAAAGTATAGAAACACAGATTGAATAATACACAATATGAAAATTAAAATGATAAACAGCTTGTAATTCGTTATTTGCATTCTTAGTGGAACATACGGCTGCAGCAGCATACAACTCTTTATTCTAGTTTGTTTTCTGCAGTCTTCTTTTAATCTGCTCCACGACTGCCAGCGGATTCTCACATTACATCAATCAACAGATAAGTGTAATATAATGCATCATCAGCTCAGATCGAAGATTAGTTAGATATGTGAAACACAATACGGGTCATTTAAACACTTCCGAAACGTTGCTCGAAGGTGATGCCCTAACATACAAAAAACGTGTTCTAACCTTTTCAACAGTTTCACTACCTGATCGATTGACTTCCCTTCCTTACCTACCCCTCTACACCTAACCTCAGTATTACTCAGACTATAATACCAGCACTAGACATAGCAGGTAGGAAACAAACACCCATGGTCAAAGATAGTCATTTTATATCTTCCACTTTGAAAGGCTAACCTCGCCTAGTTAACTAGATTGCTAGTTTTCTAGCCGGTCCCAAAACCGGGTAAAGAGGGGGGGTTGGGTATGGGGCTAGCAACCCCACACCACTAAACCTATCAAACTGCCAGGAAAACTTCAACGCACAGGAAATATATTAAAAATATAAAAAATTTCACATAACAACAATCTTATTCTTCGCTCGAATCGGAGAAGCGAAATAACGAGGGCTGGTGAAAGCCTTTGGGAAGCCATTCAGCCAGCTCATGTCTTTTCTCGATGAAAGCAAAAATAATAATGGGGACGCGGAATGTACGTAAAATGTACGAGACTGAAAAAGCTGCCCAGGTAGCCAAAGAAATGCGAAGATGTGGCCTAGAAGTGCTGGGTATTTGCGAGAGCAGATGGAGTGGATACAGATTGTCAAAATTGTCAACTAGAGAGTCAGTAATCTACTCCGGTCTTGTCACCCAGATGACAACCACGAACAAACTGAGGGGTTGGCTATTATGGTATCACCGGTGGCAACCAGAGCCTTAATGCAGCCGGGACCCATTTCATCCAGGATCATGACATAAAGATTCAACTCAAAAAGAAGGAAGATTTTTACAGAAACCTACAAATAGTAATGGACACCATTCCGAATGGTGACATCAAAATCCTCATGGGCGATATGAATGCACGCCAAACTGGGAGCAGATAATACAGGAAGCGAACTCATCATGGATCGAGAGGATCTCGGAGAAACGAATGACAACGCAGAACTCTTCGCAGAGTTCTGAACTTTCAATGATCTGGTGATTGGGGGGGGGGAGCGTGTACAAACACAAAGATTTACACAAAGCAACATGAATTTCGCAAAATGGACGACCACAAACCAGATAGATTTCACCTCAATGCTGTTCAAGAAATGGAGATGAAGCCTAACGGACACAAAGTCGAGAAGGGGAGCAGATGTGAGCTCAGACCATCGTCTGGTTCAGGGAACCTCGAAGGTGAAGCTAAAATCCCTCAAAACAACAGGAGACAGATCACAATTCAAGTTCAACATTCAGAAACTGAAGGACAAAACCACAAGGGATGCCTTCACTACAGATCAGATCAGAGCAAAGTCGCAGAGACTACGTGACATCACTGATGAAACCTGTGTGGAAGAACACTGGAACCCTCTGAAGGTGATGTTCACGGAAATGTGTACAACTGTCCTAGGAAGAAACAAGAGACAAGACAATGAATGGCTCTCAACGGACACCTACCTGGAGGCTAATAGAAGAGAGGAGGATGTTGAAAGAGATGATTCAATGCAAATATAGGCAACAGAAGGAGAAGCTGAATTCAATGTACACTGCACTGAATGAAAAAGTGAAGAAGAGTGCCAGGATAGACACAAGACAATTCTACAACACACTGGTTGGCAACTGAAGCAGAACAGGCAGGCTGCAGGTAAAAGAGACCTCAGAATATCATATTAGATAACCAGGTCTCTATCCGGGAAGAGATCAACCCAGATGATGAAGCCAATAAAAGATGTTCAAGGGAACCTGATCACCAAGGAGGAGAAACAAAAAGCCAATGGGCTGATCACGTTAAAGGACTCCTAATTCGACCATCACCTGCAACTCGCCCAGAACTGCCAGTGGACACCAATCTTACAACGAAAGCAGAAATTCTGAATGCGATCAAGCTACTGAAGTCCGGGAAGGCAGCAGGGACAGATGGAATTACTCCCGAAGCACTGAAAACGGACCCAGAAACTACGGAAGGTGTTCCCACGCCATTACTGCAAAAGGTTTGGAAAGAAGGAAAGGTGTCTACCGATTAGAAGAAAGACTGGCTACCTTGTCAAGCTACCAGAGAAGGGTGACTTGCGCCTCACCCTGCAACAACTGAAGTGGAATAATGCTCTTGTCCACGCCAAGTAAAATACTAAGTCACGTCATCCTGGAAAGAATAAAAGATGCACCGGATGCAGAACTCCACCAGCCCGAAACAAGTTGGATTCAGGGAAGGCAAATTATGTGCTGGTCAAATCGCATCTTTACGCATCATCACAGAACAAAGCACACAATGGCAGTCAAACCTCCATCTCAACTTCATCGACTTCGAGAAGGCTTTCGACAGACAGTGTTGACCGAGAAGTAATTTGCAAACAACACTACGGTGTACCTCAAGTTTTTATCAACCTCATTCAACAGTTGGATATATGACAATGGCACGTGTCAGGTGATCCACCACGGAAAACTCAAAGAGGTGTTCGAAGTGAATACAAGAGTAAGACAAGCTGACCGCCTATTATCACCAGCAACAAACAGCACCAATCACCATCAGCGAGGGAGATTTGACAGAGGTTACTTCTTTCACTTATCTGGCCAGGAAGCACGGTTTCAACCACATGCAGTCGGAACGGATGAAGATGTCAAAGCCAGTCAGCCAGAATTGGAAAGGCAAGATACGCCTTCATCAACCTGAAACCAGTTTGCAAATCTCCTGCACTCAGCATAAGGAACGAGATTCTCATTTTCAACACCAGTGTCGAGTTGGTTCTTCTATACGGGTCAGAAACTTGCACTGCGTGTTACGAAAAGGATTTCCAACAGGCCAGTGAAGATTTTTAGCAACAGCTGCCCTCCTTGCTGGCTGACTCCATACTGAAGATCAAATGGTCAGAAAGAATAAGCAACAAGAATCTCTGGCTGGGAACAAACAAACCAAGAGCCGATTGCTCAACAAATATGTAGGAGGAAGTGGAGTTGGATCAGGCATACATTGAGGAGACTGTCGAGTGACATCGCGCGCAATGCGGGCCATCGCTCGAGTGGAATGTCAATGGGAGGCAACAAGTTGGGCGTGTGTCCAAGGGTGAAATGGACGAGGTCATGAGTGATAATGGGCAATCGTGGAGCCAGCTGAAGAGGATAGCAGAAAATAGAACGAAGTGGAGATGTTCCATTCGGAACGCAAGGGAATAATAATAATAATAACAACTTTCAAAGGCTATGTCTCACAGTCATAAAGAAAGACAGAACAAACTGCTGCGCAGTACACAGGTCCTTTGATCGGTAAACGGGCATTGTGTGTACGCCTGAGATGATGTAAATTGACAAATGACATACGAGTCTTTTGTATCAGTGCTGAGGTTTCACCAGCAATCAGACCATTAGGACAACTCCTACTTCCCAAATAAGTAGTCAACACGCCCAACTACTTCATTCCCTATCTTTAAACAAGGAGTCGATCCTGTATCGTCTTACGTTTGACATGAGAGAATCATCTATGGGGTAACTCTGATAGTTTAATTTCTCAATGACGGGGATGTATTAAAATAAGGAAATCATTTCAAACTATTACGATTTTTCTTCATAATGAGTATAGTTGATTCAGTTCCCTCATTTAACGGAATTTCGAAGAATGAGATTTTTTTTCTATGGTAGAATGGAGAGTAAGAAGAGAAATTTATCTACTAATCAGCTTGACAACTACCATTACTCTATGAAATACGTAACAATCAAAAGAGCATCTTACTTCTTTCATCGAGGTCAGAATCAAAAAGTTGGATACCATACTTTGTTTTTAATTCAGTTGTATACTGATGTACAGTTTCATTGAATCCATCACCTAAGAAAATTTTCAAACAAAAATAAAACAAAAAAACACATTTCTGTGAATATTCACGCAATCGATTGTTTCCTTATCACATTAAATGGTAAGATAATTCTACGGATATGAATACGGATGCATACATGAATAGTCACACATTGACCTATAAAACATATTTCAAAAGCTTAACACTTATCACTAATAAACTAAGCTGAGAGTAGAACGACTAGCGAACCTGTAATCTTACTATTTACGTGTTTTGCTCACAAGATCTATGAACAGTAGTCAGCTTGGAAAGAGAGAAGGAGACATCATTTATGTTTATGAATAGCAAGTGAAAACTGATTCATTGAATACCATAAAGAAACAGATAAATTTGGACGAAGGTCGAACCTGTGTGTAGAACATCTATTCGTTGCAAATCTATGTGTTCGTCCTATGTAAGTGATGATTTAATGCGCTCCTAAAGAATATATATATATATACGCTAGTCGTATATTACAGTGGGACATTCATGAAGCTTTTAGAAATTTATTGGAAAATAGTGTGAAACTAACCTTCACGAATAACAGCATTAATAAATGTGGAGCTAGCTTTCAACGATCTGTGAACGGTAAACATGAGACTGTCTACATTTAAAGCATTGAGAGATAGCCAACTTCGTAGACCAAATTCACTTCCAATAGTATCAATTAATGAAACATGTGTATAGTCTTCCAACACCTTACCACCGGCTATAATTCCTTCGGGTGGGACAGGAGAACCCGTCGATGCAGCAGTTACATCAGCAATCCCCAAAATACGTAGTAATTGAAGAATAAAACGACTGATTGCGAAAGTATCATCTGCTAATTTAGATATACACTTATTCGGTTCCAGTTGGCTAAGTATTATCGAATCAGCTTCAGACATTAAATTCTTCAATAAATCCAGTACAGTACGAGTATCACAGGAATCTGGTGGTATTGAACGAGAGAAATAAATTTGGTGATAGAAAAAGAAAACTGAAACTATGATCAAACCTGTTAAGAATGATTATTTTGCATGAAGAACAGACAGTGAAGTAGACTTAGAAATAAGTAATAGTTTATGAAAACTCGCACCATATCACCGAAGCGATCATAGTCCTTGAGAGAATGAAGACAACACATTCATAACGAAGTATTAGCAAGCAGTTATAAATCAGAGAATGGTAATAATGACTTAACGATATCAATCCAAATGGAATGTAAAATTCGTGTTTTATTCAACTTAATAGTTAACCGGTAGAGTGGTCAGGAATCCTGCTCATTTTAAACTGAAATAACCCTATAGATTCAGTGAAGCTGTTTGACTAAATCGATATGATTATGAGCAATAATTTATGCTCAACACACTTCTAAACCTCACCTAGCTGGTACTAAATACAAAGAGAGAGAATGTTGTAAGTGTGGCTGACAACCCCACTCGGTAAAAACAATACAGACACTGTTGAAACTTCATTGCTGAAGGCTTGAAGCTCTATGTTCCATTCAGAAAGCAAAAGAATGAAAAAATGCTTGAGTTCCAATAGCACTGGTCTACTAGAAGCTTGACTTCTAGCAACTAGATGACAGATTTGAACCCCATACGGCCTACTGAGATTTGGACAACCAGGTAGTACTGTCATTAGATTTGAAAAAACAGATACGGCTCACTGACGAATGCATGGAAATACAAGTGGTTTTCATTTTTTATGTTCTAATAACACAAAAATAAACCTTTTCAATCAATGAATGTTGTCCTTCAAAATCCATTAGACTTATTGTTGTGTTACACGACGCATTCCTACACTTATCCGAAGTAACCTTAACAACTCAACAAAAACGTAAAATTCTGCGAAATGAATTTCTTCTGAACAATAATGTTTGCTGAAGCTCAGTTGCCGGGAACAGATTCGTCATGTACGAGGACAAGAGCCACATTTATCTTACGAGGGCTGGCAATACTACCCAGTTGCTCAGGCAGAAGTAAGTAAAGCAGGAATCGGCTGGAGACCGACTGCTTAAGCCATTGGGCCACATATCTCCACTCTGAACAATAATACAAGACCAACAGAACAAATACAAATTTAAAAAGAAAGGCTTTTAGAATTTGGAATCTCATTTGGAAGACAGTACATGATTTTGAAATCGAATTTCACCTACCGCATAACGCATCATACACCTTCTGTTGAATATCTGTCAAGATTTGTCTGAGCTTATCATCTTTACTTTCTGTAGAAATAAATTTATTCGTCAGTAAAGACTGTTTTGCGGCAAATTGTAGATTTGAGCAAGTGTATAGAAAGTCCTAAAAACATGCAAAATTCTACATAAAAATTCATATAGCTCTACATGCGAATGATTTATGAAAATGAATCAGAAATACTAAATTCACACTTTAAAGCTAAACAGAAAACAATACAGTGATATACATTACACTAGTGGACGAAATTTTCATGGTTTTCCGAGTTATTTATCAAGAATAGGATATGTTAGTTTAATTAAGACGGACATACATAATTTCTTCCCGCCTTCCAACAAGAAAAACACAGAGCTGGACCCAATCACTTATTGAAAAATAACTACTACTGTTGAACACTGTTTTTCGGTTTTTGTAGCAATTATCAATAAGCATTACCGCATTAGGTTTTCGTCAAAAAGAAAACTTCCTACGCTGAAATGTAATTTGTTAGGTTTTTGCACAAATACCACTGTATTATATCAAATGAACTTATGTAACTCCAACCACACACGTGGTCCGGGGTTCGATTCCTGTACAGTCCAATTCTAAACCTCGCTTAAACAGCAGTAAGACCGCTAATGACTGTAGGTCGGGTGTGAAGCAACCTCACCCCGTAGCTTCATGAACATCTCGAATCATCGCTGCCCAGGCGCGGCGATCTGATGCAAGGTTTTGCGACAGGGTTATCAGAGAGTTCATGAAGTTTCATGGGAATTTGGTACGAGTGATGTCCCCAGAATCGCTCGGCCTTTGTTTGAGAGTGCAGCTCTAGCCTTTACACAACCAAGTGTGACCTACAAGGCAGTAGGAGTGGAGTAGATGTTCATACGCCTTTTTGAATGGGGCCAGATATCCAGGAATCCAACAAGCCCTTTGTCCATACGTCTGCCGCAGTGAGCTTCATACGCCAGTCGTTGGAGGTTTGGAATCAGGGTTTAGCCATCTCCCCTAGACTGTCATCCAATGGACAGTCAACCCAGTGAAGAGCGCCGGGCATCCGCTTTCGCCCTCTCACTTTGGTGAAAAAAACACCTCCGCCACGTGAAGGCAGTGAGTAGGACTTCCTCAGGAGAGGCTATGTAAGACGCCCGGTCATATGGGAGCATTTCAAGAGGTGTGCGGAGGGGTGGCCAACCCGCAGCGCAGCACCCGTAAAGACCGCTACTGAAACTTCAAAGCTCCATCTTGAAGCCCTGTGTTCTATCCGGAACGCAAAGAAGTAAAAAAGTGTTTGAACATCATAAAATTGTGGGAGCCGTTCATTCAGTATACACTTCTGGATTCTAACTTTTATAATATTAGAGTGTTCTGATTCGATTTCATTGAAGCTGGTACTGTTTTTAAGTGTCTGTTTAACTGCTACATCGTAATAATATGGTTTACTGCAAGTAATTCCCTTACTGACTACTCATCAACTGTTATACTTCTTTGGAGTTATTGAGTTAGTCTGTGTAAATGCAATGAAAATGAAGTCGAAATGAACCATTGAAGCCTCAAGAAGGATGGATATTTATACACCATATAAAGTGTATCGGTTTCGTTATAACATTTAAAAATTACTTACAAGACTTGCCATTAAGTCACATAAAACAGTAATAGAATACAAGAATATATTACTTACAACCAACTGTTTTTCGTATGCGATAGCTTCAGCTAAAGTATCATCACTATAATCCATTGTATCACGCCATGAATGCAGAAGAAATATTAGCCGGATTTGTCGAGCTGTGTGAGTTTTAAGTGCATCACGAATTGTAATGAAATTTTTCAGTGATTTTGACATTTTACAGCCAGAAATTGTTAAATGACCAGAATGAAGAAAATAGTTAACCCAGTGTGAATGACCAAAATATGCCTGGACACAAAAGTTGGAAAAATAATCATAATAAATAATACTGATACTGATACTGGCACTTCATATGCTACAATAACAGCTGGTGTTGAAAGGCAAATTAGCAGTCTGGTGTGTAACTTAATAAGTAAATGAAGGATATCTACAGTGAATAACTAGTAATAAATCAGCTAAAGGTGAACATTGAACAACGTACTTCGTTTTAAAAGTTCATAGTGAAAATAAGAAATAGAAACATGCATAGAAATGAACACTGGACAGCTGATGCATTAGTGGTAGTAAGTATCTGTCTACCTGCAGCTATTGTCACACTGAAACAAAGCCGTTAAAGCTTCAGTTCACGACTTTTAGCATAACGAGCATTACTTCCTAAAAGAATGAGGTTATTCAAGTGTGCAACCAAAAGATATTTTGTTCTTAACAGTTGTATAACAACAGCGAGTATAAGTACGCCACAGACGATAGCGTCTTATCGCCTGATGATACATAATTTACTTGAATCGCCACTGGTCAGTTGGTAGTTAACATATGTAAGAATGTACGTGCTTTGTACTAAGTCTAAAGTACTGTTGCAAGGGTGAAAACACTCTATGCCCCCATTCGTTCTCGCAGCTCCACCGTTAGAAATATTCAGAGAATTCATACGCTTCGGTAAGCGCGGATAATATAACAAATGAAATTTCCTATCGTATAACAAAAGCCAGAGTAGTACACGCAAATCTGTCTCGCATCTGATACTGTCATAGTGTAAGTCTGGCAGTCAAAGCTCACTTTCAAAACACCTCAATGTGTCTTGTTCTACTTTAATGAAATCTGTCCGATTCGAACTCAGGGTTTGCTGCAACTCTGTGAATACATAAACGCTGAATAAGATTACTCGCAGCCTGTGGCGTCACCATGAGGTCCGATAATGCGTCTTTGAACAAGGTAGCGATTCTTTCAGTGACAGACACCAGACTTGATGTTACTAACTTTACTCTAGTAGCTTTCGCACTATTCAGTTTCCAAGCTACACTTAATGAGTGGGTGCTGGTTGGTGATGCTTTGCACCTGCTCAGACTGGACAGGATTCGTGCCCGGTACTCATTGATTGGAAGTCGAGTGCTCAAGCCAATAAATCATTCACAGTCTGGTGACTCTGAGGCTAGTTGCACAAAACAGATGCAATCGGCCTATGACGTGGCAACGTGAGATGGAAGGTGGTTGTGTTAATTTAGCATCTGTTAATGCATCATCACTACCTGGGTGAAATTTAAGAGAACATGCAACTCGATACATCAGATGCAGGTTAGAAATAGAATAAATGGAGAATATGTAGCGATTTCGTCGTTTATACTACCACTGAAACCAACATAAAGTAATGGGCACTCCTTTGAATGTAGTTTATAAACATAATGATGTACTTCAGTTGATTTTTACCCAACTATTTTATTCATCACTTTGTTGTATCTTTTCAATTAGGCGATATTTGAACACTCAGTTTTTCCAATCACTGTAAGATAATAGTAGTAATAAAAATTGCGACGGATTTTCACCAACGATTTCTTCAGGCATTTATTTATCAGTATAATGTAAAAGTGGACAAAATTTTGATTTTCCATAAGGATGAAGTTAGCAATGCCCAGCAAACAACAGATAAGTAAGGAGAGGTTTTTCATACAGTAGAGCTGTACGAACATAGACACGCGTATGCTACGAAGCGACTTTAATGGACTATACAACTGTTGCCTATTTTTTGCCGTAATGAAGCTTCGTAATTTTTCTAGCAAAAGCATTTGAATCAGGCATGGAAATGTGCATTTCACTTGATTCATGGGAACAATATTCTATAGTTTTGAAACATGTATAAGGGACAACGTCAAAAGATACTCACAGTTTATATTATTGTAATACAGAAAAGTAATGATCTCGAAAATGTCAATAATAATAATAATAACAATAATAATAATAATACTAACTCTACAATTCATACGTACTTCAGACTGAGCCAGTTCATTATCATGATGTGGGAACTTCAAGTCAACTCCGCCACTATGTATATCGAGAGTATCACCTAAAATATCACTAGCCATGACTGAACATTCTATATGCCAACCAGGTCTGCCTTTTCCCCAAGGACTTGGCCAAGCTGGTTCACCGGGTTTTGAAGCCTTCCAAAGCGCAAAATCAGTTGGCGACTTTTTTTCACCTGTTATGCTTAGTTCACCTTCTCCAGATGCAAGTTGATCAGAGTCACCAAAAGCAGTTGGTACAAGCTTGGCATAAAAATGCTCAGGAGAGCTTGCGAACCGGTTCGTGTCGAAATACACAGAACCAGATTTGGCGACATAACTAAGGAAAACAAATAATTGTGAAGAAACAGGATATTATCATAAAGCATAAAATTCAGTGCTGCATGACAAATGTGTCTCGTGATGGCTTACTTTATTATTTAAAACTAACAACATTAGTAGAATGCGCGGTTCCATCAAGGCTAATAAACCAGGAATCATAATTGACTTTATGAATTACTTCAATGTCTCATTTAAAACTAGGGACTACAAGTTCGTATGAACCATACCATAAAACGAAGCGAATCGACAGTCTGAATATCTAAAGTAACGAGGTATATGAAAAGACTGATAAGTCAAACTTTGTTAACTGAATACATATAAAAGTGATCACTTTGATTGCACACCAGTTAGTAACTAGTACTGTGTATCTTGTCCTTTGTTTGGTGCAGACTAAATCCTATCAGTCAAGTTTGCAATGTGGACACCATTCTAGGCGGTTCGCCATCACAGTGCAGCGTGTATTGTTGATATTAGATGGTTCAAAGCAATCGGCAGGAAGTCTTGGACCTAGGTTTCGAGCTAGTTCATGAAATTTGAGCAAATTTTTAACAAACGAAGGAGGATGAGAATTGCGAAAGACAAACTGCAAAGTTGTGAACTTGTATTTAAGATGTTCGTGAACATCAAGTTGTTATATATGGTGATATAATGTACGAAATAGTATTGGGTTATAAACTACTAACTACATACAGTATTAATAAGTTCAATACTGGACTAGAAATAATCCCAAGACTCTTTTCTTCAGCTAACTACAAAATCTTTGCAATACCGCTATATGCTAAACAGATAACTAAAATTACCCCCGGGTTATTGTGGCATATATTTAAGTGGGTTTGAAATACTGTCCGGCTATTCACTCATTACCAGCTGTTTAAGAGATGAATGCATATTCAAATCTGTCCCAGACCCAAAATTACGTTGCGATTTGCTAACCAACTTACTTATTGACATATTTAGTCAAAAATGCAAACATTTCCATGGTGATAATAAAAAAAACTCACGCGTAACCATTTTCGATAATTTTTTCAACGTATTTTATAATCGGACCAATATACTCCGTGACTCGAACGAGCACGGACGGGGGAATGACCTAGTGCAAAATAAAAACCAGAGGGATTAACTGTAGCATGTTTTTCTGAAGAAAAAAATTTTACGCTATTTTAATGTCTCTATAAGTATACGAGTGAAAATGTTGGATACTGACGTCCTAACAGTCTTTTTGCTATTGTAATAAAGGATAAAAATGATTCCTACTTCACTCATTTCTAAATGAAGTAGAAAACTTTTGCGAGAATCAACTTTGTAGACGATCTCAAACTGCAGTGATCAAAAAATATCCTGAGAATTTTTATTCGAAACTTAGGATGACAAAATACTATCACGTCATATTGACATTTAGTCTCATTTAACAAGACATGACGTCTGCTTGAAATTTAGCAAATATTGATGCCTAAATCTACAAAGTATTAGTATTTTGCGTCTGTGGCACAGCGGTTAAGACTGTCACCGATCATGCATATGGTCCGGGGTTCGATCCCCTGGCAACGCACACCTGATATCAATTGGTTAGCCTGCAAAATTTGGGTTACCGATATCACATATTGAAAATTCCATACTTGTACCAAAAATACGGTGTGGAATCAAGCTATAATAAAAAAACGCCCTATTCTATGACATTACACACACAGGACTGAAATAGTCTCAGCTCGGCAGACTACTCATAGAATTACGCATAAAGAATTATTCTACAACCGACTGATACAAGTTGTAGTTGTTCGCAGTCAACTTGTAGATTTCCATCAGTTCAATATCCAAAGAACCCGAGGTCTTTCTCACCTAGTCAATTAAGATGCCGGTTAATTACGCGAAATAGTTATGTCTTCCTAAAGTTGCACAGTCAACATTTTTAACTTACTGACTGCAATCATGATATGTTATTGTAGCTATTCATCCTCAGTAAGTTCATATCTGGTGAGTTGCCAAAAACAAACTAGATTTCAACAATAAAAAATACCCATTTGGTGCAAATCTTGTCTATACAACTAAGAGCGATCACATCCAAACTACTTACATTTACAATACCGATAAGAAACATGCTGACAATCATAAAAAAGGCAAGAATTTGACACATTACTTGGTGAAACAATTAAGTTCATACAAACTTACATTTAAAGCCGCCATATCTGCAAGATATTCTTTCTCAAAATGCCTAGACAGTACTTCGAATATTTTATGGTCATTCACAGAATGACCAAACGCTGCATCTAAAGTATCTGCGATAGCGTCACGAGCATGCCTGATCAAATGAATAACTGGGTCCTCTTTATCAGATGATTCAGTAGACAAAAGAGATATTAGACGGTCAACTTCGTTATTTAGATATTCTTTTTTATCTGGATCTGTTTCAGTTAGTAACTTCGATTTTATTCTCTGTAAAACCAATAGTGAAGAAACAGATAACTAAAATTAGTGCCGTGCTGAGTAAACTTGATGCTCCCTATTTTTTAAAATGATTGGTGCTTGAAAAACTATAAAACATTAGATACTCACCAGTCATAAGGTTAATGGTAAAGTGCTTAGCAACGAAAACTGCTGAGCAGAATCGGTACCTTTTATTGCGGATCTATCACATCTCCTGACCCCTTAGTACCAATACCAGAGGAATTATGGACTAGAAATTATTTAAATATTCTTATAATATACAATAGAAACAAGCTATAGAATCACGTTCATCTCTGTCATGTGACAGTTATTTGAATAACTCAGTCGGTTAACATTAATGTTAAGTAACAACGCAATGGAAACTATGAAGTGAAATCAGGTAGGAAGACTACATCTCAGAACCTAAAAAAAGTTTTATGGAAAACATTAATTATAGCTCACCACAAACGTTCAAAACCACTGCTGAAATTATGTTTTTGGTTGAGTCAGAAGAACCTTCCCATTACTAATTTCTGAATTGTTAACAACCAGTGGTGTCCGTCAAGGATGTCCACTTTCCCCTTTTCTGTTTAACTTCATCATAGATATGCTAATGGAAGTATCCTTAACTGAACTTAGCGACTTAGGAATCGACCTGTTACCAGGGAATAGTCTTATAGACTTAGAATACGCAGACGACATAGTCCTGTTAGGAGAGGACGCTGACAAAATGCAGAGTCTTCTGAACACCTTGAGCAGCAATCTTCGTATGTTTGGCATGCGATTCGCCCCTGTGAAATGTAAGATGCTGCTACAGGACTGGACTACGTCAACTCCTAGCTTAGTGATAGGGAGTGAAGTGATAGAACATGTTGACCACTTCACCTATTTGGGAAGTTGTATCAGCACCAACGGATTGATTGGTGACGAAATCACAGCACGGATCCAGAAAGCTCGGGCTGCTTTCGCTAACTTACACCGTCTCTGGCGTAGGCGTGACATCCGGCTGTCAACCAAGGGACGTGTATACTGCTCAGCAGTTCGCTCCGTCCTTCTCTATGGCGGTGAGACGTGGCCATTGAGAGCGGAAGACATGAAGAGATTGTCTGTTTTTGACCACAGATGTTTACGATCTCTTTCTCGCGTTAGGTGGTATAATAAGGTAAGTAATGTTGACGTTAGGCGTAGAGTGTTGGGTAAAGAGGGAAAATCAATCGAAGAGGCTATGAAGTTACATAGATTGAGATGGTTAGGCCACGTGCTGCGCATGCCTAACCATCGTCTCCCCCGACGGGCGTTACTAGCTGATATAGGTGCAGGTTGGAAAAGGGTAAGTGGTGGCCAAACAAAAACATGGCATCAATCCATGAAATCCCTGACAGTTAAACTGAGTCAGGTAGGGAGATGCAGACTTCCGGGTTGGGGCCCTCGGGACTCTAAGAATCAATGGCTGGAGACAATAGGCGACATGGCTCAAAATCGTTGTCAATGGCGCAGATGTATTCAGTCTCTTTAACCTTCATACTCCTTTCTACCATTACTCATTCTGTTTCACTCTTATACTTGTCAAAACTCTATTGATTCTCTTCACTCATTTTCTTGTCTACCTTTGTGTGCTATTTTGGAACGTGGCAACTCGAACTGCTGCACTTCGGTGCCAAGTTCTATGTTGAATCCAGACAGACAGAGACAGAATTTCTGTAGAGTGACATCTCCACACAATTTTTTCCAGCCCCTACGCTGAGGAAGTTTCAAAGACAACTCTTAGAAAATACTACATTTGAATAAAATCGAGCGTAAACAGTCTAACTTCATTACTCCGAACTGACGTACCATCTAGGTACCTGTAACTTAATTGGTTAGGCACTTTATTCTTAACCAATGTAACAAATTTGGACTGTTACTGCTGCTGCTGGATTCAACATAGAACTTGGCACCGAAGTGCAGCAGTTCGAGTTGCCACGTTCCAAATAGCACACAAAGGTAGACAGGAAAAGGGGAGAAGAGAATCAATAGAATTTAGATAAGTATAAGAGTGAAACAAAATGAGTAATGGTAGAAAGGAATATGAAGGTTAAAGAGACTGAATACATCTGCGCCATTGACAACGATTTTGAGCTATGTCACCTATGGCCAGAAAGATAGGACAAATGCAGCTGAAAAACGCATCACAAACGTACTGAGAGATCTTCTAAAGAAGAAATTGATTAAAAATAATACTTACAATGATTTAAAAACCCTTGGGTCTCGTTTACCGCACATGTATAGCCTTCCAAAGACACACAAAAAATAAGTCCCTCTGAGACCTATACTTTCGATCATCAACTCGCCTCAGCATACATTTACTCGTTGGCTTGCAGAGAATTTGGAACCCATTCGTCAACGGCTAGCTTTGTAAACCATGAAAGACTCATTTCATTTCGCCGAAAGTGTGACCCACATGAGTTTCAAATAAGTCCATGGTTTCATTTGATGCAACCTCCCTGTTCACAATGATCCCAATCAATGGAGCCATCAAGATCATTTGTCAGAAGTCTGATCTTCTCCCACTCCCAGAGTCGGGATTCAAACGCTTACAGCTAATATGTACCATGGATGCACAATTCTATTTTAACAACACTACTGCCAAATAGATGGTGTAGCTATGGCTTGTCCAATTAGCCCTGTTTTCGCAGATATCTTCATGTCAAATCTTGGAAGAACAAAGTTAAAGCATGAAATCGACGAAACAACTTCTTATTGTCGATATGACGATGACACGTTTGTAGTGTGCAACAATGAAAGTCATGCTTCCTACCTACTCAGATTATTCAACGACGCACATACAAATATTGAATTTACTATGGAACATGAAAATGATGGAAAGTCCCATTTCCTTGACATTGCTATACAACGGTAGTCTCCACAGGTTAATTCACTCACAGTTGTATAATTGTCAGACCTCTCTGTGATACGGGTCATGAGGTAGAAATCGCAAAATCCTTTGAAATTATCAACAAGCAAAAAAGCTCAGTTCTCCTTAAGTTTGCCGAGGCAATTTCCATCTATGTGTTCAGAAAGAAGCAGTTACCAGCTTTTTCTTGCCCTGGTAACTGAATGTCTTTATTGTCGTTTTCTCTCGATTACGTAATCTTCGGCTTTAACCTCACCTCCCTTTGATATAGTGTAATTTTGCTTCTCTTTTCTCTATGATTTCAGTTGGACTCACTACACTATTACCTAATTTACTAGCCACTCTTCATCTTACGCACATCCAGTCCCTATTACGCAATTCCTTTGCCTTGGTATGCATACATTTACTTTGTTTAAACTTGAACTCCCTGTGTAAAAACTATTTAAGCGTAATTTCCTGAGCACTGTTGACTGAGTTTGAAACCTCCTGTCAACTGACATCATGTGAAATTTTAAGTACGTTAAAAAATTTCGTACATAAACTTATAATTGACTTGGGCTGTAAGCAGCTGATAAAAAGCCGACGAAATAAGTGAAGGTGTCGTATTATTTTGCAAAAACTGTTGTTCTTGCTTTATTCAACTATCCAGTTTTAGGCAGTTGTAGACGTTTGGGGTGAAAGAGAAGAAACAATCGGTGTAATAACTAAAGATATGTGTGCTAATAGTAACAATCATTAAAAATTAGCCATTTAATGCTAATGAGTGAGTTTTAAGGCAAATAAAATGTTGAAGATATGTACAGTACCTGAATTCCCTTAGAAATATCGCCAACAACAACAGCCAAGTCAAGATCTTTTGACATATATTCATCCATCAGGTAGTTCTGCCTTGCGCGCTTAATAATCTGGAGGAGCATTACTTGGAACAGCAAGTACCTTATCGTCAATATCAGTTATATTTAGGACATAAGTAACCTCAAAGTTGAAATAATCAGCCAGCACCCGACGGATAACATCAAATACAATATAGGTCCTGAAATTTATGCAAAAATGGAACAACCGTTAAATTCCAAACCTCGCATGACCCAAATGGGATACGTCATATACTGTTGGACCGCATGTGTACCACTTAACATGCTTCCCATTAAGCGGGACGAAGGGCTCCTAATAAACTGATATGAAAAAGAATTAAGAAACAGAGCTCACTTTTTTTGACGTTAGGCTATTATAAAAATAAAGGTTCGGTAGAACCACATCCTTTTGTACAGGAATGGACCACTTCGGTTGAACACGCTTCTCCATCCTATTTGCTGTAAAGTTTACAAAAATGAATTGATCTGAATCTACTTAAAAATCGAGGGTTGACCAGGGTACTCGCCTGTTTATACAACTTTTCAAATGTGCATCTGTGCCTGGTAGCACAATGCATAAACGTGGTAACTCAAAGTAAGAATCGCCCTCGTCTTTCAATATCCAATATAATGACCAACGGAAATATCTGCTGAATACCCTCCATTATGAGAAAACTGATATTCCTAAGAATTCTGCCATCCGTTGTTTGCGGAGATAGATGTTAACATGTATACCAGATAATGCAAACATAGAAAACCCCGAAATTTTCCCAATTACTCATCTTTGTTTTGTACTAAGTCTTTTATCATACTGTTTTCTTTTTTCCCTTTCTTGACGGTAAGTATGTACTTTTGGGTAATATTTGGTGTATATGCGACCAGGCTGTAGGAGCTTACAGTCCTGTTAATTACCATTTTTAAACGTTTATGAATGCGTCCATATCTTCCATAGATTCCAATGCAGCCTGATCAATAGTTTTACCTCTCATTATTTTTTTATTATTTTTCATTTACAGCTTGATTCTACACCGTATTTTCAGTACAAGTATGAAATTTTCAGCATGGATATCGGTAGCCCAAATTCAGGCCGACCATAGATATCGGGTGTGCGCCGGCAGGGGATCGAACCCCGGACCATGTGCATGGTCGGCGAGAGTCCTAACCACTGTGCCACCTACGACATGTGGTTGGAAGCCTGTCCGGTTAGTAGTGTACGCAAAAGTTTTCTGTTTGTTTTGAGCTGCTGGCTTCACTAATTATCGTCTTACCTGCCGCCTCTCCATGTAGAACAGAAATAAATGAAAGTAGTGGATAACAGTAGGAAAAAAAAGGTAGGAGGACCAGATATGGAACAAAAGTAAAAAATGACTAAAAGGGAAAATTTAAGATTTATCTGCATATAAGGATAGGGATGAGTAACACTAGGATGATTGTTTTATGTGTTGTTCAAATTACACTACTACTCACTTTCTGTCAAATGCTTTGTGTTCTACTTCAACAACATTTTTCGTTATTCTTCAAAAATGCTAACCTGATAACCGGATTGGAAATCATATGAATGGAAACTTGCATGTACTAGACGTTAGCTCATCATCTACAGTTTGCTGAAGCAAGTGAGTCTTTTTTTCAGCTAGATCATATCTTCCACCCCGTATACACTTCCCGTATAACTTTTAGTCAGCGAAATGGAGGACGAACGAACTTTAACTGTTACGTTAGTCACTGTTGGGAGTTCGGAATTGTGTTTGACCTGATATGTTCCCTTGTGTTACATCAGTAGATTATATTTTCCCTGCAAAGCACGGATTACTTACATTCCAGAATACTTTTATGATTAACAATTAGTTTACACAGAGGGGTTGCATACTTCATTCAGGGACTTTTCATAAAAAAGAGTGCCACAAGCGCTAGCCAAATCTAGAGAGAGGGCATGCGACCTTGGGTGGCTTGATTCTGAAACTCCAATAAATTTTACCACATTGCTATTGGTTTTGATACTATGACAGGTCCTTTCCAAAGTAAAAGTGAGCTTCATACAGAATACTGCCTCCGCGTGAATATTTTCTTCGCTGTTCATTCACCGCGAATTGAATCCCTAGGAAGACTGATGGTTGTACTTCGTAATACGTGCTGAATGAGTTAATTTTCTTCTGAGGTATCGAAGTCTCGCGAGAGTTGTCAGAGTTTGTCTGAGTAGCATCGCCCTCCACTATCTCTGTTCCGCTCTGCTTTTACAGGCTTTTGCACAAGAATACATGTTAATTACAACAGATACTCTCTTGTGTGTAATTACTTAAACGTTCTGTTACATACACAAAGATTAAAGTCATCACGAACTTGGTATTCAGTAACTAGTGTAAAACACGTTTAGCATATAGTCGTTACCGGGAAATTCGACTAAGTTTCGTTTTAAACCCGTAGTTGTAGGCATTCGATAACCAACCAATATTGAGGTAAGTACAACGTTTACAAGGGATAGTAAGCTGTTTTAGAAAAGTAAAGGTGCCAAGGTGAATCATTAAAGTGTAATGAAATAGGTAAGTGCAATGTATCATTAATACATGTATTCATTAGGGAAATACAATTGGAGACTATAATCCCTAGGCTGACAAAGTTCATTTGCAATGTATAATGCTACCCATATAGGTCTTACTATCATGATGTCCAATTTTGATTTTAATACAGTTATCCACAAGCCGGTTGTTTTTATTTCACACGCTGGTATACAAACCCCCAGTAATTATTATTACCGAATCCTGGTGTCACTCCAGTATACCAGACGAAGAGATAAGCATCGATGGGTACATACACTTTCGCTGTGGCAGGAAGAGTGGTTACGGAGGAGGCTGCCTAATGTACTTCCTGAACACACTTACTGTATTACAGCTAGAAAATAGGGAACTCAGTGACATGCACGACACCCTATGGGGCAATGTACACTTCAAAAGTGCTACACTACTAATAAGATGTATCTACAGAGCACCTGGCACCTTTAGCGATTACGAGGCACAACTTATGAATGTACTGGAGCAAGTATCCACTCTTCCATACGAGCATAAGATCATATGTGGGGACTTCAACATACCCGAAATCAACTGGGATTTATTAAAAGGGCCAACTAAATATGACAAGCTCTTAGGCACACTGGACATTTTCGTCTGGAAACAAACTGTCATTATGCCTACAAGAGGTGACAATGTACTAGACTTAATATTCTGTCACGATATAAGCCCCCTCTCAATCTTAGTGGGTTCTAAGTTTTCAGGTAGTGACCACAAAACAGTGATGTGTGCTCTGCCACTTCCACTGAGTAGCAATGCAGCTCATACCTCCACTTCACAACAAGTAATATATAGGAACTATAGTAAGGCAAACTGGGCCTTAGTAGAGTCAGTGCTAAGATCCTCCGAATGGGGAGAATACTTCACTACTGATGACCTCTCGAGAGCTCTGAGCATCTTCTACCATAACTCAAACACATGCTTAGATGCTTTCATTACACTCCAAACACTTAAGCTTTCCCCACATAGAAAGTCATTCATAAAACCAAAGGATCGTACGAAACTGAAGAGACTCTCGACAAGTTACTTCAAACACCACGACTTCGGCACACTAGGTTTAATACTTAACGCCCTAAGCTCCATCTCACAAGCTCGAGATTTCTGTATGAGAAACCAAGAATGCATCGCAGTAGCCAGTCCTGCTAGAGTGTATGCACTCACAGAAATCTTAAAGAAGCGAGTGAATCGCAAAAATCACAGCATTTCCCTCCTCATAGACAAAGGTAGGCTGTGCACTAATTCTGCAGACATGTGTGAATTATTTAACTCAAATTTGCAGGTAACTACCTTAAGGTAGAAGCATGATCTTTCTTGGCGATCATCATTATGTTTTTCAAGATAAAGAGCCAAGCCCTCATAGAAATCTCGAGCCGCCAAATTGCATATTGCTGTTCCTGCGGAATGGGGCGATTCACCTTAGTGACCACCATATTTACTGATCAGCATGCGTCACCCTCCTTTTATGATGTTAGACTCTGATTGTTGTGGCTACGGCAAATATATTGCTTGATTCCAGACATGTTCGTACCTCACATTCCATTTCCCTAGCTTTCTTAGTGAGTGCTTCCAATAGGTCTCCACGTACAGATCTATGAACATATTATATGTGTGCATGCGTCCTAATATACAGATTAGTTTATAAGATGTTAAACCCTTAAAGAGTAAAAAGAATAGGTTTTGTGAATAGTGGAGCAAGATTCAGCACAACACTAAACTGAAGGTAAGGTCGGTTGGCAGGACTTATTGTACTAAATTATCATGACAGTCTTTTATATAGTAAACATTTGACATTGCAAAGTAACCTGTCTACACATATTATAAAACGATATTGACACAGAACCAACAAAATTTCAACGTTTGGTTAATAATGCTGCAGTGTGTGTATACTGAAAAAGGGTAGTTAGTCTTACAGGGAGCCGTAAAGTAAATCAAACTATATATGATAAGAGAATAATCCATTGAATGACTAGTTATCATATTGTTCCCATAGACACAATAACTGCAACCTTATAATTTAACCATGAACCAAATTTATGTAATTTAAATAATACTTATCCATGCCTGTACATTTGGTGTGTCCTACACAGGTAGGAAAAATGTATTTTATTAAATTACTATTGTTAAATATGCTTACTAATCGTATATGTAATTTATCATATTGATGATGCGTGTAAACTGGCGTCCCTCATGTAAAAAATGAGAATATTATTATATTATAATTCGTATTATCAAAAAATAAATTCAGCTCAATAATTGAGTGTTATAAGGGAAACAAGCGTGGTAAAGCAAGAGAACATTTGCTGCATAAATATTTTAATCATTTTAAGTATTGTAATGACAATCAAATTTCAAGAATTGATCATGCATAATTACTAAGTATTATCACATTAGTGTTGGGGCTAGCGTGCTTTCCGTAGTTAAATATCGAAGTGTCATTGTTTCCCCACTCTACCAGCAGTTGTGATCTTTTAGATGGGCTAGGATGGACATGTTAATATGTTTTTCTAGGCTCCTTTTAAAACTGTCAGGCTTCTCACAGGATCTAATCTCAGAAGGTAGCTGGTTCAAAAGTTTGCAATATTTAATGGTGCAAAAGTTAGCTCTAGTGGTGAGAAGGTAGTAATGGTTGCGTAGTCCATACGATTTAAGATTAGCCCACGTTATGGATGAGTTACTGTTACAGTGCTTTCCTATAACTTTGAATAAGGGAAGTAAGTTGCACTTCACTCTCCTTAACAATAAGGGTTCTAAGTTCAGTCGAATACACCTGTTAAGGTATTCTATTTGCTGATCATATCCTAATATGCGTTTCGTGAGGAATCTTTGGACACTTTCAACTTTTTTTTCTGTCTGCTGATTTAAAGCTACTGTATAAGTGGGAACAGTATTCAAGTTTGGGGCGAATGCGTATCTTATACATAGCCAATCTGGCTTCTGGAGTGTAAAAGTTGCGTAGCACAAAGCCGATGAGACGTTTACAATCAGATACCACCTTATTTGCATGTTCAGTAAAGGTAAGATCTGAGTATGTTACACCAAGACCTGTGACTGTGTTCGTGCTTGAGACAAGT